AACGGGGAAGAGCACAAAGAAAAAGCTCAACTAAAGTTCGGATTTCAACGAGCTGATTGAAATTTTCTCGTGATGGATGGGGCGTCTGCTTTATTAGTTTAATGCGAATTATGAGGTCAGTGCTGAAACAAAAAAAAAGAAAAGAAAAAAAAAAAAAACACAGCGGGAAGACACCTAAGAAGAAGACTCACACAATGAAATTACGAAAGGGACAAAGACGGCAGAGAGAGTTCATAAAGTGCCCTCATTAGCTTTAATGTAAGGGATATGGTGGGCGTTGAAAATTGAGAACGATCGGCCTCGAACCTTCGAATAGGGATCCAAGCGGATCCCCCAAGCATGCGGGCACATGTGTCTGCTTCCATTCCAGCAAAGTACTCAATTTATCAGAAAAAGTCTAAATAAAATAACAAATTTTTAGACATTCACTTTGCTTATTGTTCTTAACATTAAATTGTAAACTTGAATTGAGCAATTTGAGATATGAGAACTAATTTTGATAGTCTCACACTACTTCATTTGTTAATGCTTTTATGAGCATAATATTATTCGGTTTTTGAGTTAATGCAGAAGTTTATTTTAATTGTATTATATGCTTAATAACATGGAAAAAGCATATTTTTTTTTTTATTTTCTCTAATTATGTTTTTTACATTATTTGTTGTTTAATTTAAAATAATCTAGGTACATCAACTAAAATCTCTCAATGTGTTTGCAAACTCGCATTTATCGAGTCTTCAGCTAGCGTCTGGGGTATCTGGGCTAGGAAACAGCAAGAAAAAGCTTACGAAAGATTTAGTTTAATTTGTTCTTAAGAATTCTCCGTTTCTTTCTTGCTTAAGAGGGCTTGATTACAACATGGCTTAAATTGCCCATGTTCCGGAACTAAGGTGTAACTAACTGTTCACGAAGCTAACGCGGATCCATTAATGACATAAGAACTGACAAGTGTGACCAGAGATGTGCATTTCCTGCTTTCAATTAAGACTCGACCACTCTTTCTCTCATCACCTGGTCTCAAAATGAGAGGGAGTAGGAGAGAGAGAGTACACGAGAGCGGGAAAGAGAGGGAGCGACAGCTGCACAGCTCCTGCTAATTTCCGGTTTCAAGTGTCACATTTTGTTTTTTTTCTTCCCCATTATTGAAAGAGCCATAACAAATATGTGCTGCCGTATTTTTATGGTTTATGGGTTGGGCTTCCCCTACCCCTCCCCTTCCCTTTCGATCAAGGAAACATCTGGCGGCGGTTGTAGTTGTTGTGTGTGCGACAGCTGCTAAAAAGGGATCGCTCGCTCGTTCCGTACGTTATTCCTCTGGCTCTTCTGGCACATTGAAATTAGCTGCCTTTGGGGTGATTATTATTGAAACGCGCTCGATTGAATTGTCTGTCAATACGGCAATAAAATAGTTGAGGCTGCTGGGTCGGACTGCCTATGAGAGGCCTTAACCCTTTACCTTGCTCTTTACTTAATTTTAACTTATTTCAAAACTAGGAACACATTTCAAAGTGTTTGCTTATCTTGTTAACAATGTATATATGGCATAATTAAAAATCAAAGTTATTTACAAAAGCGGTAATAGTATATATATATATATATATATATATATTTTTATTCTTTATACCCTTATAAGAAATTTTAATTTTAGTCAGAAACTTGTAACGCTCTCTAGATCAACATCAACAGCCGAGTCGATCTAGCCATCTTAGCCATATATATTTTTTCAACATTTTATAAGGGATCGATAAAATTGTTTAAAATTGATACAAATTTTTAGATTTTTTGATTTTAAATTGAGTATACAGATTTATAAACTAATATTGGAAAGCTTTCCGCATTTAAATTAATCTTTTTTTTGTTCAGTTATGATGTATTTTCAAGCATATATAAATTTCCATACCCTGAAGTAAGTTTCCTTTCTTGTTAAACATTTTTTAAATATTTTTTTTAATAAAAAAAATTTTTAAATGCAAGGATTTACAATAAGAATAGTGTCATTCGGTCAGGGACACAAGTTTATTAGCAAATGTGTAAAACCCATTATAAAACTGATTTAAAAATAAACATTTGTGCATATTTATGCATGCGTTTTGTATTTTTTAATGATTTTTTTTATTATTTCATTTATTATTATTTTTTTACTTGTAAATATTTTACAATTGTCATTTCATCATACATAGATTTTTACTACCAAGTTAAAGGTTTTTATGTACCATATGTATGTTCATATGCATGATTGTAAATGAAAGCCTCTAAAAAGGCTATAAAGTTTTGTTCATGTTAATTTATTAAAAAAAATATATTTACAAGTTCTTACTACTCGACTGCATTTATGTTTTGTTTTTGTCTTGTGTGGCAGATGTATTCAGTTGGAGAAGTTCGACTGAAGCAAAAATATTCAACGCTTGCGTAATTGTTTTTTCTTTTTTTTTTGTCTTTGCCATTGCCTTTGGCTCTTTTGCTCGTTGTTTTTTTCCTTTAGCTTGTGTCGTGTTTTCTGGATTTTTTTTGTTGCGGCCGTATCTTTTTGCTACTTTAAGCACGTCGTTCGTCAGAGGAGTAAAGTCGAAGGTTCATGAACCGCCGGCAAGGACAAAAGATGTGGCTACATGGACATATCGATCACATGGGGAGGAGGCATACATTCTGTCTGTGTGCTCCCCGTTCCCACTTGTATTCCCTTGCCACAACAGCATCCCCCAACCCGCGTAGCATCCACATCCCTGAAAGCCACTTGAACCCGTCAATTCTTGGAATAATGGCGAGGCTAATCAGAAGGGAACAGAAGTATAGAGCGCCACTTTTGGATACCTGCTAATCCATTTATTTTTGATGAATATAGGATAGAAATTATAAGGAAATATCTTTGGTAAAGATCTGGGAAATACGTGTTTAGTAATTTAATTTCTAAAATTTATTTATATGTTATAAAACTAGGCCGGGATTTTATACACTTTCAGTTTAATATATGAGAAATGGATGAGCTTACTTCAAATCTACAGAATATTACCAGTTTAAAGTTATCTGCTGGTTAAAAATGCAATCTATAAGATACATTTGACGAGCCTTCTTCATCAATAGCTGCATACATAGTTTAACCGTATAAAAAAACATAAACAGTAATGATGGAGATTATAATACAGACTTCAGAGGCATCACTTTAAAGTTTAAACTTAATTGGATCGAACATAATCGAACTAACTCTTGTTCGAAAGGTGGGCGGGTGCGTGAGTCCACGCAGCCTCTGTTGCGATATCAATCGCAATTGGCGAACAAGAAATCACTGACCTTGACTTTAAGCAAAGTTAAGGCCCTTTGTGCAGGCAGTACATATACATATATGTATTTGTACGCTTGTATATATAGGTGTATATATACACACACTTGAACGGCAGCATAATTATAGAGTTGAGCGGCGTGCGCGTTTCTAGACTGGTTTTGTTGTTCCCGGACGTAGCCCGACGTCTGCGTCGACTGCGACGCAACAGAGACGCCAAACGGCGGTTTGCCATTCCACGCTGTTCTTTGAGCCGCGCGCGCTGTCGATCGAAGAGTTGAAGAAACGCACATGACGCAAGCGCGCGCAGACTTTTACATTCCCATTTCCATTCCATTCCCGTTCCCGCCGTTGCCGCTCCTTTCCCCCTCTCTCTCCCCCTCCCTCTCACCACCTATTGCATCAGCGGTGGAAGCGGCAAAGTCGGTTGAAACTAGTCGCTTATTGTTGTACTTGCCAGTTGGTAATGACCATAAAGAGCTTAAACTCGCTTATACATACACAGACAGGTGTGTGATGTGTGTGTGTGTGTGATTACTGGGTTCTTCCTTCTCTGGAGCAGATAAATAGCAGTTCAGCCACACTATACTCAAGAATAATTTTACCGATTTAATTGATCAATTTTGAGCAGAACATTAGTATTATAATTAATACTAAGCAATACTATTTTAAAATTGACAAAATGTATAATTTCAATATTTAAGCTTTAAATTCATATTTGTCACTCAATAATATTTGGAAAATTTGAATTTCGGATGAATTCCTGGCACTTCCCGTCCGGAGTGTTCATCCATCGCTACATTTAATGGAACCTGTAATTATGGTTTCCAGTTCAGCTCCATTCAATTATAACACTATAACAATATGAATTTATGCAAATTCTTCTGAATAATCAGTTTTTGCGAAACAGAACCGAAAATAAATTCTAACGATAATCTTTTGACACGCTGCGTGCAACCGTTCTATGCATGGGGGTTTTACTCCAAAACGACAACAAAAAGAAAAAAAAACCAAACAAATTACCCCACGACTAGTGTTATTTTCTGCATTTACCATTTCCTTCTCCTCCGCTACGTGCAGCCCTTTTTTTTGGTTCTCTTCTTGTGCGCTCTTTGCAACTGCAACTCACTCCCACACTTATATGTACATACAGAGACCGGAATACTTGGAGTGCACTGCTCCGGTTGTACATATATATATGTATGTACATACCATGTCCGTATGTACGTTTGAGTGTGTAGGAGGTTGTCAGAGGTCAGTCTCATTGCGGGCAGCGCAGCTGGCGTTGCCTAGCCGTGGGTATGCCTGTATGTATGTACATACATATGTCTGCACTCAGTTCCAATTGCCATTCCATTCCATTCCTCTGGCGTCGTCGTTCTGCAGCCGAAACTAGATTTCGCCTCCGTTGCTCTCTGGCGCTCCCACCCTCTCTCTGGCTGGTTCTTTGTCTCTCCCGCTGGTGATAACTGGTTGGGTGAGTTTTTTTTTGTCGTCGGCTTGGCGTTCGTACCAATTCCGTCCGTTCCCGGTTCCTCGTTCCGTGTTCGACATGTCTTGTAAAAATTCTTCTTTGCCAGTTTCATTCTCATTCAGTTCTCAACGCTCGCTCTCTCGCCACGAGAGAAGAGAGCCATCCACAAGAACGGAACGTTCCGCTTTGAGTGAAACCTATAAATACAAGTGCAAGCGGGCCATTCGAAAAAAAATTTTCGCCGCAATTTTTCGACTCGACGCACGTTTGTTCTTTGTTACATTAAATTTAAAATATGCTATATTTAAGGCTATAAGCTATTTGCAAATTTTACAAGCCGGATAAACACGGAAAGACGATCAATCGCGTTAATTTTTCGTCGCGTTCAGAGAGAATATAAGAGCGTTCCTGTGTACGTGCGTGCGAGTGAACTGTGCGGAAAAAGCAATAAAAGTATTAATACTAGTGGAATAATAAGTAAATCTAAGTGCAACAATAACATACACATACCTAGCCTATGTACGTATGCAACCGAGTACAGAGTACCGATCAAATAAGATTATTATATGTACATATAAAAAAAGCCAACAAAAAAACGAAAGAAACAAATTGTTTGGTTCTGCTTAGTTTGCTTTAGTTCTGCTTCTTCTTTCCCTGATGCTGACGCTGACGTTGGCGTCGCAGCCGCTGTAGAGTTCATCAACTTGTTTAGAATCGCGTACGTGAGTGCGTGGCTGTATCTGTGTGTGAGTGTGTGTGTGTGAATGTGAGCGAGTGTTGCCTTTTTCCTGCTGCGCTTCTTCATTGGTTTTGTCTACGAATTCTCTCTCGCTGTCTCTGTCTCCTTCTGGCGACGCATCACTTGCATTGTTTCTGTTTGTTGCAATGCAACAAAACATTTTCTTGCTGTTCTTTGCGTTCCGTCTTCCTTCTACGATTCTGTGCGTGTGTGTGTGTTTGTTCTTTTTGACGGGGCGCGTTGTGTTGTTGTTTGCATTAACTTTTTTACGTTTGTACGCTTTTTGTTATTATTATCTCATTCCTTATTTTGTTTTGCGCCCCCTGCGCTTTCTACACTCGCGTCCGTTTAAATTGTTGCCGGCAATATTTGTCCATGGAATATTAAAGATTTATCGTAAAAAAGAGTTAGTTTTCATAATATTTAAAAAGAAAATGTATCTTTAGTTTAAAATTGGAAGAAATAGCTTCTAAAATATCTCAGCAATTTGTATTATTTATTGATAAAAAGAGATCTGATAACGAGACGGTTTAACAACCTTTAAAGCCCAAGGGGTGCGTACTTCCTTCAACTCGAAGCGCGACCTTCCCGCTTCCACAATAAAGAAAACGTATAAAAATAAAATCCGAGAGTCGGGCCTATTTATTCCGACCCAACTGTTTCAACAATTCCCCGCCATTGGGTTTTGTTGTTGATATCGTTATTCGTTATTGTTGTTGCGTCGATGCGGAAGAATAAAACACGAGTTGGTTTTCTTGTTTCTCGTGTGTATTTTAAACAAAAAATTATTACGCCAATGTTCTCCAAATTTAATCACTGTGTAGAGACTGACTGACAGGCTGATCGACGTGTGAGCCACGCTTGGGGCTCCTCATTAATATACAAACTGCGTGAGTGAGTGTGTGTTGTGTGTGCCGAACCCAACTAAAAAAATATACTATACAAAAACTCTAAAAACGTGTTTAAATTTGTTTTTATCTCTCTGTGTGTGTGCAAACATAAAACAAATGTACAGAACGGAAAGAAGAAATACAGCATAACATGTCTGTCGAACGCTATTTATTCCATGTGTCTTGTTTCACGCTCGATTTGATCTCTGATTAAAAACTGTCCCCACTGGCTGTGCTTTATAATATAATGTTTATATAGAACCGATTGCAGTGGGCCCCGGAAAGCGAGAACATAATAGAAATGACCAAAGTCAAAGGTTCTCCAGTACTAAAACTAATCGGGACTGATTTCGTCTACCAGAGATTCTAAGTTTGTATTTTTGTTTGCTAAATTTGGAAAAACATGTTTATAATTAATGCAGAAACAAAGCCTGAAATTCTTAAGTCGTTGTTTTGGTCACCACTCGGGAAATACCTGAAATACCTGGTATTCTACTTGGCCCAAGGCAAAGTTACATTAGTTTGAGAATCTTTTAAGTTATTTATTTTGTGCGTTTATACAAACTATAAAGATGACAATAAATAGTATAATTATTATATTTTGTACAAGCTTTTGAACCCAAGAAATTAATAATTAACAACCTAGAGCTTACTGTACCTGCGCACCGTACATTTTCCGTGATTTTCAATTCAGATAAGTTTACGAGCAAGACTATGATCTTTCCTATCCACGATCAGGGCCGATTTGGGCCATCTTCCAGAACTCGGAATAAAGAATCTTTTTTGTAAAATGCATTTCCTGCCCGCGGCGACTGTGTTCTCTGCCGAGATTTCTAGAACTCGGTCGGGGTCGTTCGCTTGCTTGGCAGTCCCAGCCAATCTCTGCTAGCGCTTCTTGCTGTACCAATATGTATTCTCTGTTCTGTTTTATGTGTGTCTGCACTATCGCAAAGCGTCGCTTTGCCACCACGTAATAGATAACGAGGGGAACCCGAAATTGGTAAAACTCTAATTGAAAATGTTAAGAAGATAGTAAATATTTATCGGAACTTAACACGCAAACGAGGCGAGCGAACACGTTTCACTTGATTGGATGATTTGGTGGTGTTGCAGCCCTTTAGTAGATATCGCAAATATATGTTTTGATAACAGAAAGTATATCTTTTACTTAAATTTCTTCTTAGATTCAATGTTGCAGTCGATAACTCGATACAATTTTTTAGATATACAGAACAACTTTTTGGTAGGAAAATGCCATATTTGGTATTTTAGCTTTGTTCCTGGAATGTTCGAAACAGCTATGGAATATTTCCCAGCCGACACAGTACCTGTGCGCAAGGTTGCCTTGCTATTTCCTACCACCAGTGTAGTAGAGCCCAGGACATGCAGACACGCGCTATCTCCCTTTCTCTCGCACCCATTAATGCCAATGCATTGCGAGGGAGAGGGTAAGCAGCAGCAGAGGCAGCTAACGAACCACAGACACTACAAAGCGCAGTAAGAAAGAAAAATGTTGTGCAGAAAAAAAGAGACAACAAAGAAGAAGAAATAAGAAGACAAAAAAAAAACAAGAACTGCAACGACGCCGTTGACCTGCGGTGCCTTTGACGGGAGTGGGAAAGAGTCGAAGCTAGTCGTGGGAGAACGACCCGAAAGAGAGCAAGAAGAGTGGGTGAGGTAGAAGGAGGAGATATGCACGGCGTCTGGGATCTCGGGGCACATCGTTGTTTTTGTCTGCTAAATTGGATGCTGCTGCTGCTGCTGCCGATGCTGCTCTTCTGCTGTCCTTATTCTTCTTCCAGTTCTTGTTCATCTCTACTCTGCAACAATAAAACTCCCTTGTGCTTGCTTGTCGCAGTCGCAGATTTTCCTTTTCCTTTCCTTCTTTTTTCGCCCATTGTCTTCAATAAAATGCGTCGAGTCAATTTCATTCACCAGCAGCTGCTTTGGGGGTCGCGACGCTGCCCGGCTGCTGCTGACGCATAGCTGGCACCGTCTGAGAAATTAACAGAAAAAAAAGAAGCGGGAGGAGCAAACGTCGCAGAATTCGACGAATTTTGCTGCGGATTACAGTGGAGATTGGGTAAACATATCCATTGATAAATTCACTTTTTGTGAACAGAATTCAGGAATTATACAAATAAATACTAAGTTGTATGCTTTTCCAATCCGTAAACATATCCTATTGCAGGTAATATGGGAGAATTGGTATTTGCTTGGTTGTAATTAGAGTTTTATATATTGAATTGCAAACTTGGTTATCACAAATCTTACTATAATGTTCAAGATCCGATTTCTATACCTAATCGAAAGCGAAGCTTGTTAACAAACCTCTTGAATAAGTTTTAAATACTCAATTATTTTATTTCAATGGGTCATATTTTAAAAATGATATTAGAATGTCAAATAAATTATTTTGGATTAAAGAAAAGAATTTGTTCTCTTTAAATTCTTTTGTATTTTATTCATTAATTTGAATCCGACGGATGCGCCATCCTTTGCTGCTTCTCTTTGCCAATATCTACTGTATTTCAATTTGCATCGAACCGAGACAACAAGAACAACAATCGTCGGTCGTGATGTTGGGATGGCGGTGCCTTTGTCTGCGATGAAGTTGTGGAGATGCGATGGTACATGGAGCTTGGAGCTTGGAACCTGGGATTTTGTTCATGGGATGAGGATTGGAATTGTGTTTTGGGCTTTGGGATCGGGATGGATATTTTATCTGCCAACTGTCAGCGTTTTTGTTTTTGTTGTTGTGGTATCTCTTAGAAGAATGTGAATATTGGGTGTGTATGTATATATAATGTGTGTGTGTGTGTGAGCAGAACAGGTAAGCGTAGTTTGCTTTGTTCTGTTTTATGGCCGTGCTCTTTGTGCTGGTCTTTTGGTATATTTTCCCTGCAGTTTTGTGGGTACGTATCCTCTGGATACGATGCTGGTCAAACGGTTAGCTCTAAAATACAAAGTATATTGTGAACTACTAAATCCACATCTCACTTGAAGGGATTTATATAAAGAATCTGAGGAATATAAAACAAAATAGACTTCTCATAAGTTAATTAATTATTAGCATTTTAAAATCTTACGATTTTTAATGTATTCTGAAAGATGATTACTATAAGTTGAATATGTATGCAATACTTTTTGCATGCAATATTTGTACCACCATTGTGCCTGCCTCTGCCTTTGGGTACCATTGAACTCTGCTGCAGCCGCTGCTGCTTGGACGATTCCGCCAGTTGCAACCCCAAAAAACAGACCGCAGGGGAATGCATGAAAATGGAACGCTTGTTTATTTTGCTGCACAACCAGAACGAACGCGTCCCGCTTCCTCTTCCTCTTTTTCATTCCTCTCCGCCTCATTCCTCGTTATTTTGTTGTTGGTTTGATTTGCATTTTTATGGAATTACAGTGGTACTCGCCTGGAAATATTAAATATACAAATTGTAAAAAGGGCAAGATAACAAAAGACAGACAAGATACAGTTGATAGTAAAATCATGTTTAATCTTTAAGATACTATATTTTCCGTTAAAAATTTGTAACCACTTAAAAACCTCATAAAAGACATTAAAGAAAATGAACTTTTCGATGTATGACTGTAGTGCAATGCACGGACCCCCTTTTTTAATTTTTTTTTCTCCACTCACTCTAGCTTTTGGCTTGAACTTGGTGCTGCTGCCCGCGCTCTTATTTCTGATCATTATTCCCTCAATAATAATCATCGTCATCGACGCCGCAGCCGCAGCCGCTTCGCTTTGTTTTCCTTCCACTTCTCCTGAGCCATGAAATTTATAATCTTGTACAAATTGTTTTGCATTAGTAATGCCTGTGGCGCAGTTTGTTCCACTTCTCACATGGTTCGGCTCTTCTGCTCCGTTCTTTACTGGTTCTGGTCTATTCTCCGCTCCCTTTTGTTGTGCTTTCCTCCTTCGGCTCGTGCGCCTCTTCGCTGTGCTTAATTACAAAAGATGGAAGGGAATGGGGGGTAGAGCGAAAAGGGGTGCGGCCCGCCGCCCTCAGTGCACTGCACTCGCATTTCTGATTATTAGCCTGCTCTCTATTTTTAAACACTTTTACAAGCACTCTGGAATTTGTGGCCCCTCCAAAACAGAAAAAAATAATGCAAAGTAAAACATATGGCACCGACTTTGAGCTACGGCACACTCTACTCACACTCGCTTAACAGAAAAGCGGAAAAGTGCGGAGACGACACAACAATTCTACGATTCAAATGGCCTGTGGCCCCAAATGATATTAATCTCATCATGATATACAATCCAACTGTCAGTTTGATTTGGCCCGTATCCCTTTTGGCCGTCTGCCTTCCGTCAACTATCTCACAAATTGAGTAATCTAATCGATAGACAACTCACTCATTATCAACTTATGACCCAAAAAAGGGGAAGGAGAAGCCATCCCTCTTTATTTCTTCATCAACGGTTTTACGATATTACGGTAAATTATTGCATTAATACTCTGGTTGTAGAGTGATTGTATCTTGTCAACATTTAATTTCTTCACATCAAATTTAGTTAAGATCAATAGCGTCAAAAGTCCTGAATTGCTAGTCAGCTAATTTTCAAAATTAACAACTAATTATTATTCTTTTTGGTGTTAAAATTCATCGTTTAGTCTAATTTAAAAAAAAGTTCGATTTTGTTAATAAGTGATCTTCAGCAGTTGTAAACCTTTATCTTCGTATGTATTAACATATAAGTGAAAAATATTTTTATGTTGATCAATAAATCAGAAATTATACGTCTTTTTGCTATAGGGTATTCATAGATTCCATAGTTCACACTTCTTGTTTCTCTTCCTCTTTAACCGGTGACGTTTTTGTGCTATTCTTGTGTTTATTAACTAATTTGTCGAAATTACCGGTGGTTTGTTTATGAGTCAGTTTATTTACCTCTACACGGTTATGTCTCTCGATGTGTGTCTTTGTGTGAGTGTCAGGTGTGAGCCGAAAGTGCTAACGTGAGTGATCGATACCTTTTGAAGATCTCCGCAAAGCTTTTTTCCTTAACAATATTTCTTTTTTTTTTCCATTATCCCCCACCGATTCGCAACAGTTGGCAAAAGGAAACGAAAATTACCGCTACTTTACATGTGTAAATCTGTCTATTGTGTGTGTGTGTCGTCTGGCCATTTTCCGCATCTCTTCGCTCTTCTAGCTCCGACTCTGTCTCTTTCCGGCTGCCGTGTCTGCCGGTATACAGAAATTTTTCGCTATGCAGTTATGTTGATGAGCTGCAACGTCATTTCTAGCATAGCTTCTTCTTCTACTCGAAAGTTCTGCGGCAACATAGAACAGAGATAGAGCGAGGAGACAGTGATGGTGGAGGAGGGCCGTGTCTGTGTGTGGGAGAGCACATCGCTTTGTTTTTATTGCTTTTGGCTGCGGCGGCGGTCGTTGCCCAAATTGGGGAAAAAACATGCGCAGGCCAAAGTTATCGGTTATCGCTTCCTGCTTGCTGTGCTCTCTCTCCCTGTCTCTCTTTTGTGCCTTTCTGCCTCTCTCGCAACCTGTAGCGCGCGCAAATAAACCGTTTGTTGCTCTTTCTGGGGAGGTTTTCCGTATTCTTTCTGTTGTTGTTGCTTTTATTTGTTTTGCTGTGGGTGACTGGCCGCCATATTGTTTTAGGGGTGGCTAAACATTTGCGAGGGGGTGGTGACGTGGGCAGGGGGTGCAGTTTTATTGTTGCTTTTGCAGCCGGCATTCAACAGTTCGGCAAAAAGGGCGCTCTCTCTTTGCACGGGCTCTCTCATTCGCCTCTCTCTTTTGGTAAATGTAAATAGGATGTATTGATTTTTCCCTGATTTTCTGGCGGGGTTTTACCGTGCTTTCTCTAAAGTTTATTAGTTAATATGGAGGGAAAAAAGAGGAAAACCGCAGACAGACAGTAGCCGCAGCCGATGCACTTGTGCAAGCAAGTGACTCCCCTTGTTGCTGCTATTGTTGTTGTGAGTGGAGCTGAGCGAATTCCCAGGACATTTTGGCGCTCTCTCTCTTTTGTCTGCCGCCGCCTCTGCCGGCGTCGCTGCTGGGATCTGCGATGTGAGCTTTACCCGGGTCGCTGCATTATGCGCAGAGTTAGTTTTGCAGGGAGCTACGTCGCACGTCACGCAATTGTACATAAATAGCGAAGCGTTTTTTATTCCCGTTATAGCAAGGACGCAGGGAAAATAGAAAACACGTACGCACGCAGACGTCATCTAGCCTTGCATTTAATTATCCTTTCTAATAATAACAATAATAATAACGACATTCTCTTCTCTCCTATTTCCATTGCAGCCTTTTGTGCGCGCGACGCAATAACTGGGCAGCTCTTGAAAGTATGCTACACAAATTTGTTTCAACGTGTTACTGCAAGAACAAGAACAACAACCATCAACATCCCACGCACTTTATCATATAGACTGCGCTCAAGACAGAGACAGAGACGGGTAGAGAGTGAGAGAAAGAGAGGGAAAGGGAGAACAAGAGCAACAAACTATAGCAACAAGAAGGCAAAAACAACAACCAGGAAACGACGTTACCAACTGGAATATAAATATATATAGAAATTTCTACAACAAAATTACAACAAAAAAGTAAAGGTAAGTGTTGGCTTATCTCCGTTTATCACATTGTACAGTGGTCGCTCGTGAAAAATGAGAATCCGCGCCGGGAAATGTGTATTTTCCCTTATCAGGGATTAATGGATATTGCGAAAATGGATTTGGATTAATCGTATCTTTATTATAGTAAGCTTTAAACAGGATAAATCAAAAGGAAAGTTTAATAATCCATTTGCATATGTTTAAATGGAAATTAAAATCTTTATCACAAGAGACAATTTAAATAAAATTAAGGTCCTTTAGTAGTTGGAAGCCTTCACTCATGTTTAATATTTAAAGGTTTGTTTACTTCAAATACTCCACAAAAAGTTAGTTAGTTAAGGAATAAAATAATACCTAGGGAATCCTTTTTAATACGAAGGATTATAGGTGGAAAACTTTAAATGTTTTCTTTTTTCTAATATGATCAGTAAAATAAAATTTTCAAATTTAAAAGCATTTTAGTGGCTGTTAAAGAATATTTTGCCAGTTTTTTCTCCGATTTTGGGTTCTAAATTAGTCTTCTTAAAACCCCAATAGATAATTCAGGTTTCTGCAGAGTACACTAGAGGTTTGAATTCCCTTATAACAATTTCCAAGTACTATAGAGATGGTTTAGCTACCGAATATATTATCAATTAGTTTTGTTTTTTATGATACACCATATTTGGGCTTTAAGGATTAGTTTTTGGACACCCTTTTAAATCCAATATAGTCTGTCTTAGCCAGTTTAATTCAATATCAATAATAGTCTATATGCATTGACTCAAGATCATATAACTAAAGAAAAGAGGAAGTTTTGTTACATTAGAATTGCAAACAAAGTTCACACCAAAGGAGTTTCTGGGGACCACTGTGTATGCCGATTGTGCCGGTGTGTGTGTGTGTGCATGATAAATGTACATCCAGTCTAGACAGTTGCAGGACTCCATTTCCCTTTTTTTCCCCTCTCCTGGGTCACATCCCTTTCGCATATAAAACTCCCCCTTGGGCGCATTTTTCGGGGTTGATTTTGTATTTCGTTTCGTTTCGTCTCGCTGGCTCTCTTTGCTTTCACTTCAATTGCCTTTTACGTTGATTTTCTTGTTGACGGAAGTTTCGCTTGGTCTGGAAGGCAGGATAACATTCTTGAATATTCTATACCCTTACAAGAAGAGAGAAAGGGTATTAATTTATTTATACAAAGAATTTCGAGACATCAGTCTCATCTTTCTCTCAAGTTTTTAATATTTGGCATACTTTTTGACACAATTTGCAATGTAAAAGAACTTAAAAATGCAATATCTGTCACATGATTTATGCTTTCAATTATAATGCCATAATGCTGCCTTGGCAACGCGCTTTTGTAACAAAAGTGCAAGGATGTATATCCTTTGGCTTAACAAAGTTGTGCTGCCTTTATCGTTTTGTTTACTTTTTTTTTTGCGACAGGGGTTTGTTGTACAACTCCCCTCCCTCACATTGCCCTCATATTTCTACGTCCCTTTCAACTCCTGTTACTTTCCTAGCCGCCATGCCTGCTCCTGCTCCTGCTCCTTCTCTTCCTGCTGTCCAAGGCAGCGAACCGCGAAGGAAGCTAAAAAAGGTGGGGAGTTAAATTATGACGAGGGGGAAGAAGGACTCTGTGAAGTGGCGAAGTTGCCCGTCTGTCTGTGCGTGCGTTTATTGCATTTGTGTCCGTCTCCGTCTTCGCCTCTGAAAGCAGGATATTAGGGGGAAGGCGTGTGTGCGTGGCAGGGGATTCCCCTCGCGGCCAAAGTACTTTCATCCCAGAGTACAGCCTCGCTTCATTGTGGCGTAAGGAATTGGAATTGTGTTAAAAAGCATTCCGTGGGGGCGTGTGTTTCCTAGTTTCGATTCGATCCCCTTTTTGGAGGGAGAGTAGTCGTGCGTCTTCAACCCACCTTTCAACCGTCTTCTTCGAGGATGTTTAATAAAAGACGGGTCACAGCTGTCAAGCATTGAGAGGGATTAGAGTCTTCAAACTTCGACTGGATGGAGGCAATTAACTACAAATTATGATAACAATGTAAGGGCAGGACGGCGTGACTAAGTAAAAGAGGGGAATATATTTGTTTTGTTTTGTTGGTGGGGCCATGGAAATGCCAAATGCGGCTGAGTCATGAGGATAAAATAAAGAGAGAGACAAGTAAGGACCTCAGGTGACTCATGGTCAGTCAAGGGAAAAGTGTATAATATGTACAAAAATGTATATTAAATGTTTAGCTATGCAGGGTCTCCTCGTGGAATTGAAATTCTTTAAAAAGGATGTCTAAATGAAATATTTAAGGACTCGAATGTAATCTAGTGTTGCTTCCTGTTGCATACTTTTAGGTTCGCTCTTGAAGTGATTTCAAGTCCTTGATAGGCTAAGCTTTCAAAGTATTATAAATGAATGAAGCCGTCGTAAACTCCTTGCTCCGTTGTAAGGATAACGACCGCACGTTTAAATGAAGAGCAGCGACCATGGGCACAATGTTCCTTCCGTGTACACACATTAGCACTCGTTAATAATTCATTTTTCTCAATTTTATTTCTGCGCTCGCCGTGTTTCTTTGCAGCTGTTACTCCTAAAGGTAAACGGGGCCACCGACGGCAATTACAGCGCTAAGATGGCGTCCTCGCCGACACCATCACTGGACTCGATGCGGGGCGGGGCGAACTCGATTGAATCGTATGAACATGCCGGCTACCTATCAGACTCCCCGCTCACGCTGAGCGGCTCATCGCCACCGGCCAGCGATTCGGCAATCTGCAGTGACGAGTACACGGTCGGGAGCAGCGTCAAATCCCGGTCCGAGGTGACTGTGATCAATGGCCATCATCCCATCTCGGCCTCGGTCTCGTCCAGCTCCTCGGCTAGCTCCTCATCCTGCTCATCGTCGTCCTCATCGTCATCGTCCTCATCATCGTCCAGCAGCTCCTCGACCAGCGGTCTCAGCGGCTGCGGCAGCACCAGCAGCAGTGTGATCAGCACCAACAATGGAACCACAAGCAACGGGCCCGGTGTGATTGGTAGCAATCTGCAGGGCAATGGCAACGGCAACAGCAACACGGGAATCAGCAGCCTGGTCGTCGGAGCGGGCAAGGGGAGCAACAGCAGCAGTGCCAGCAATGGCAGCAGCAGCTCATCCAGCAACACATCCGCCAATGGATCGCCGCCACGTTGCACCGCCTGCAAGAGCAAGTGCAGCGATGCGGTGGCCAAGTGCTTCGATTGCCAGAGCTATCTGTGCGCCAATTGTGTGACTGCTCACGAATTTATGCACTGCTTCAACGGACACAATGTGTGCTTGATCAAAGGGTTTGAAGCGAGCACCGGCTCACCCCTGGGCTCTGTTGGCTCACCGAGCAACAATCCGGCCTCCAACGAGTTCAAGTACGCCAGCTCGCTGACCATGATGCTGCAGCAGCAGCAACAGCAGCTCGACTCACAACAGCAACAGCAGCAGCAGCAACAACAGCAGCTGCTGCCGACGCAGCCCATGTCACAGCTCTCGAAGATTGTGCTAGCCGCTGCCGCCCAGGCAAATTCTCAGGAGCAACAGCGAGAGGAGAGCTCACTCTACGGCTCACTGCACCCACAACAGCAGCAGCAGCAGCAGCAGCAACAGCAGCAACAGAGGCAACTCTTTTGTCCGCGTCACAAGCAGGAGCTGCTGAAGTTTAGCTGTCGCACCTGCTGCATTCTGGTCTGCAAGGAATGCATTGTCCTCGAACACTCAACCGGTCTGCACGAACTTGAGAATGTGCAGTCTCCGGGATTGACACCAGCATCCAGCGCGGGAACCTCGGCCAATGAGACAGCCTTGCAGACTCTGCTTGCAGATATGCGCGGCAAGATTGGCGAGATTGTGGGCATTGCCGGAAACTCGGACCAGAATCTCACCAAGGTGAAGCTGCAGTATCAGAAGGCGCACAATGAGCTGAACGAGACGCATCAGTTTTTTGCCTCCATGCTGGATGAGCGCAAGACGGAGTTGCTCAAGGAACTGGAGTCCCTGTACTCGGCCAAGGTGAACAGCAACAGTGCGTGGCAACAGCGTTCCCGGGATCTGATCGACAAGGGTCTGGCCACCTGCGAGGCAGTGGAGCGGAGTCCTGCTCCACCATCATCACTGCTGGCGGAAGCCCTGCTCCTGCGCAAGTCCCTGGAGCAGCAACTGCAAACGGGCATCCAGGAGATGCAGCAGCCCTTCGAAATGGAGTTTATGTCCAACTATCAGTCGATTCAAGCGGGCGTTCGTAACACCTTTGGTTATATCCGGGCCAGCAGCTCCGATGGAGGTCATGCCGGTTTAAGCCTCACCAGCAACGGTCACGGAAAGCAACCACCGATTGCTAGGCCCACACAGAGCGCAAGTAACAGCAGCGCTAGTAGCGCGGGCAGTGGTCATCATGGCGGACACCATCAGCAGTCGCACCATCATGGCGGCCATCACAATCATCACCAGGCGTCATCGCATCATCATCAACAGTTGCAGGCGCAGTCCTCGCTCCATGGCCTTGGCCTGGGATTGACTGGCAGCAGTCTGCTGGACAACAGCAGCTCGACTGGTGGCGGTGTTGGCGGTGGAGCCTTCAGCAATGGCAACCTCCTCTTGAGCGGACGTGATCGCAGCAATGCGTTGGCCGTGGAGCAGCACTTTGGCGAGCTGATGCCCAAGCGTGGAGGCGGTGGCTACAGCGGTAGCAATGGAACTGGTGCCAACAGCACCGTGGCACACTATAATCCCTACGAGAAGTGGAGCAACGGCGGCAGCGATAATCTCTTTTCGTCTGTGACAAATGGCGGAGGAGCAGGTAGCTCATCGGTGGCCGATGCCTTTGCCAGCCTGTCGTCGGTGGGAGTTGGCACCGTGGTGAGTGGCGGTGGCAGTGCCGTTAGCTCGGAATCGCTCTTAGACTTGACCAACAAACTGCTGTCGGCCACCATTTACCCGCCAAAGTCGCAGATTAAGCGCCAGAAGATGATTTACCACTGCAAGTTTGGAGAGTTTGGCGTGATGGAGGGACAGTTCACGGAGCCCAGCGGTGTGGCGGTGAATGCCCAAAACGACATCATTGTGGCGGACACGAACAACCATCGCATCCAGATCTTCGACAAGGAGGGACGCTTCAAGTTCCAGTTTGGTGAGTGCGGCAAACGTGACTCCCAGCTGCTGTATCCGAACCGAGTGGCTGTGGTTCGTAATTCCGGGGACATTATCGTCACCGAACGCTCACCGACGCACCAGATCCAGATCTACAATCAGTATGGACAGTTTGTGCGCAAGTTTGGAGCCACCATATTGCAGCATCCGCGTGGCGTGACTGTGGACAACAAGGGACGCATTATTGTGGTGGAGTGCAAGGTGATGCGCGTGATCATCTTCGATCAGAATGGCAATGTGCTGCACAAGTTCGGGTGCTCCAAGCATCTGGAGTTCCCCAACGGTGTGGTGGTCAACGACAAGCAGGAGATCTTCATTAGCGACAATCGAGCTCATTGCGTCAAGGTCTTCAACTACGAGGGACAATATCTTCGACAGATTGGCGGCGAGGGCATCACCAATTACCCCATCGGGGTTGGAATCAATTCGAACGGCGAGATCCTGATAGCGGATAACCACAACAACTTCAATTTGACGATCTTCACGCAGGACGGGCAACTGATCTCGGCGCTCGAGTCGAAGGTGAAGCATGCCCAATGCTTCGACGTGGCGTTAATGGACGATGGCAGTGTGGTGCTGGCCAGCAAAGACTACCGGCTCTACATCTATCGCTATGTCCAGCTGGCGCCAGTGGGTATGTAAACACACAATCAACACACACACTCCATGGATGGGAGTCCGGAACAGGGAAGAGACCCAGACTGTCATCCGGCTCTCTCAACCTCTCTGCTCTAAGCCTAGTTCTCTCAATAGTCTGACTTGCGCGGTCTCCCCCCTCTAAATACTAAATCTAAAGCTTAAACTGAATCGAAATCTATGATCTGAGAAGGGAAACAACAGGAAGAGATACAAAGAAACTGAAACCGAATCGAAATCTAAACATACATATATATTGATTGCCCCTATTTCTCCTCTAAAAACTGTCGTACTGTCGTCGTCTCTCATAGCCTAACGACTTACACACGCACACTGTTGGATTGCTTTTTTATTAATTATCTATTTAAATTATTGTTGAATTTTGTTTTGATTTTTTTATATATATATATGTATATTTACGCTGTTTAAGGCTTAGTTTTTATATTTTTTTTGTGTGTATTTGTTTCAACGATAAATATATATATATGTGGATATCTCTGTGTGAATTTTCACGTTCATGTTTTATATCGGATCCCAAATCTGAGCAAAGAACTATATATATTTTTCTGACCCCCTCCATCTCCATCTATCGCGTGCAAGTCTCTCTTTCCTCCTCATTCGTTTTGAAAGAAACACAAATAAAAATGACACAAAACAAAAAATTAATAATAATTATAAAATAATACAAGAAGAAATCCCTCCACTTTTTAACTTTGATGCAAGAACTGCGTGAAAAAAGAAAACGAAAGTTAAAAACCAATTAACGAAAAAGGAAGATCATAAACAAAAAAACACAACTTTATATAAACTAAATTTAACAATTAACAAATCCCAAAATGAGGAACAAGCCGCGTATCGAGCATTAAATAAGTAATAATTGATTGTAATTCTTAGATATATCTATATATGATTGCGCAAATTGTTTGTTATTATTATTTTTGATTGCATAAACACATTTTGATACATACATATATATATATTATTATAACTGTTTTTTACGTTTATAAATTATTTTTGATTATACAAGAACCTATTGATTACTGATTATTTATATTGTAGACCTTAATTATTATCCTCTAAGACATGTTTGCTACTTTTATACGAAATCAAAAACCGAACCCAAAACAAAACAAAACCGAACCGAACCCCAACCGCGACACACAAACAACAATTCACAAATTTTTATACTCGCTTAGTTTTTATGTTTTTTTTTATTGTTTTATACTATTATTATTGTACAACAACACAAACACACACAAACGAAAACAAAAAGATGAATGAATTTTTATTAAAACAAAAAACCACCACACATTTGCCGTTTCTTAATTTTAATACCATCAAGACCAACAATTGCAACTAAAACAAGGCACTGAAAATAGTTAAAATAACATACATACACATTTTTGTTCATAACTGTTAAAGCTATTTTTTGTTTAGGAATTTATATATGTATTTTTTTTAAACCCTATTATTTCGTAATTGAAACACTCGACAAATTTGTTATTTGGCCTGATAAATGATTTGTTGTCAAATGGAATTTAAATAAATATTAACAAGGATAGTTATGTGCACACCAAACACATGCGACTGTTTTTAATTTTAATCGATTAGCGAACATGTGAGCGTGTGCATAGATAAATCAAATTAAGGAATTAACAAAATAACACTTAACTGAAAGTTGGCAATCAGTGCAGAAGACTTAAAACATTTATAACTATTATAAATATACAATTAAATATGTCTATGTCTCTATACATACGCATATATGTATTTATAAATATATACATTAAACTATGATAAACACTTAACAAGTAAAGCAAAAAAATCTCAAAATAATTTAATAGTTATAAAATTGAGGAAAAAACCATGCCAAGCCAAGCCTAGACGACCATTCGCTTCATTGTTTTTGTTTATTTTACTCTCTCTCTATCTCTGTATCTTGGTTTTTTCGAAAGTAATATTAGTATTTTTGAAAAGAAGGCCACACAGTGCGGATGGATAGTTGATAATGTTCCGCACTGTATTTAGCTAGACTTTGTTGTTGCTTGCAATAATTCAGATTATAGAAAGCATTTACGTTTGCCGAGCCTCAAAAACAATGCAAACCCAAAACGAAAGTGTTCTTTAAGTTAAAGGTTATAGAAGATGTGACAAGTTAAATATCGGAAGTGAATATTTAGTGTGTACTATTTAAGGCGATGGTAAAACAAACAACTTTTTGAGACTACAAACGCAACATTAACAGGAACAGCATTTAAAAAATGTTTATTTTGTAATTTTTTTAAAGTAATAATCACTACTTTTCGTTGGTTTTGAGCTTGAAACGCGACGCGAAGATCCCCAAACCCAACGCAACCCAACCTTACCCATGACCCCCTCTCTCATTAACAACACCCACGCATAAGCAGGTATTAGAATTCTTGAATATAGTTTTACGAATATTGTATTAAAAAAACAAAACACAAAACGTAGTATTTAACTAGCATAGTTTCCCCTTTGTTTGTTTTGAAAAAACGCTTTGCTTTGTGTAACTTGAAACTTTGATTTATATTTTTATTATTATTATTATTATTATTATTATTATTATGTCGATTGTACTATAATATAATTATTTTTATTTGTGTGTATCTACTTAAGTGAGATTATTAAATATACGAGTATATATTTTTTAGTTCTTTCTTGTTGTAAAATTTCATTGACTTGAATTTGACTTATTATTGTATTTTGAAGCTGATATGTATCGATGTATAATGGTAGCTGTAACAACGACGAATGGGTTAAAAAAACATAAAGTATTGTACGTTTTCTGTGTGAGAGAAAAACAAAACTCTTTACTTGACAACCAAAAAACAAAAAAATTACAAAACAAAATGCAAACAAAAAACAAAACACTACAAAAAAAAAACAAAAAACAAAAACTGTTGAAAATTTTTTATATAAATTGTTGAAACAAAACAAAACAAACAAAAAAAAAGAAGAAACCTAAAACATAAAAGAAACTGCTAATTGATGGTATTTATTATGGCCTAATGCATACTATTTAATTATATATTTATTATTAGCATTTTAGCTTGCACAAGCCGCGTTTCTGACAAGGACTTTTATTTGTATTTTGTGCTTGCATAAATTTGTTTTTATGTTTATCAACTATTATTATATCTTTATTATTACGTTTTAAAATGTTATACAACAAACTGCAAACTACAAAACACGAAAAGTGGGACACAAGAAAGAATATAAAGAAGTAATCTAAAACATAAATGCATTAACAATAGCCAAGCAATCTCTGCTCTGAAAAATAAACACAAGGAAAGAAAACTGTTGTAAAACCCTACACGAAACAAAAACACAACACAACCCAACAAATGCCACAAACTGAGAAACAATTAAAGATTTTTATACATATTCCGATAAAAAAAAACCCATTTGTTTTTTATTATTTATTATTTGTATTATATTTTCCGTTCTTAGCACTTTTAGATTTGTACATTATTATTGATTTGAACAGATGCGATGTTTATTAACCCTATGATGCCGACATTTCCGCTTCCGTAGCCCCCTTTTTCCCGCCCCTCTCCCGTCTGTCTCTGACGCACCTATTGTACTAGTGGTAAACTATTTAATCTTTATATGGATATAAATATATATGTGAATGTATGTTGATAAACAAATTGATGAATTGAGAATCTAATAGACTGTGCAAAAAAAGAAAAGAAAATAAGGAAAAACCGACAACAATTTTTTTAAATATATATTTCTGTATATTTAAAAAACTCGAATAAGGAGCAAGAAAAGAAAAAAAAACATGAATAAATAAAGAATATTCTCTTCGGCACACAATCCCAGAGGATAGAAATTATATAAAATATTTATACAAGATAAAGATGTGTAACTAAAGCACAGTGTGAGCTATCAAAACGTACTAAATAATTAGCAGTTTTTATTTCCGATATTTCAGATCGATATGTAAACGATTTATACCGCCAATTAACTGTGCTCTAATCCTCTATATAATCAGATAAGCGTCAAGGCCCTCTGATATCTTGCTCTATATATATATATATATGTATTAATATATATGACCGATTTATATATGTTAATATTGCCGATATAGTATATGTAGTTGGGCATTTCGCGTGTGTCGCCATTTGTGATTATTTTTTTCTGGGCAAAGTCTAGTTTTACCCGAAAAAAAGGACGCCAAAACGGAAGGGAAAAAACTGAAAGGAAAGGGAAATAAATTCAAAAAGTAAAGGAAAAGCCACCAGATGAAGATCAGAATGGAAAAAAGAGAATCATTTAGAAAGTCATATTTTGAGTAATGTTAAGCATAAGTGTTGTATAATAAATGGCAATGCAAGCTAGTGTTGGAAAACACCGCATATACATCCATACATATTATCCATATATATATATATAAATATTATTGCGACTATTATTTTTTATGATTGTTAGGAGCTCTCTATGAATGTTGAACGGAATCGAAGCGAAATCGAATCGAGGCCAATCCATCTACGGATTGACTCCTCTCTCTTTTTGGGGTTGGTTAAGAGACTGTCAGGCACAAGTTACAGAACAGAACAGACCTAGATGTTAGGATATATATATGCATATATAAATATATATGTATATATACAGACATATTTGGTGTTTGTATGCCATATCTAAAAATCATTTTAATTGTAGTTTATATTTTTGATAAATGTTATTAAGGAACGGAACACAAAAACAAAAACCAAAAACAAAGAACAAAACAAAAACAACATAAATCAAAGGTCATTTGGCGGCATTGTTAAGCGTATTTGTATGGAATTTAAATTTTGTACAAGTTCTAGTAGAGATTGGCAGAAGTTTGAATTCTATATCTCCGATAAAATGGAGAGGCAGCGAACTAATGAATGAAGGCAAACCAAAACCAAAACCAAAACCAAATCCAAAAAGTAAATTAAAATTCAAACTGGCTTCGTAGAAGTGTTTTTAAGTATTATTAGAAATTATGCAGTAATGAAGGAAAGCTCCCAAATGAAATGCTTGAACCACTAAATTATTATGAACATAACATATAGATATATATATGCATCTAATTGAATAATCTCAACAACTGAGTGTGTCTGTGTCGTCTATGTTTCGGTTAGCATCTAGTGCAAAGCGATCGCAGCTTTCAATAAGTAGGATTTTAATTCTTGGTAGTGCTTACTTCAAACACATGTTTTAAGGAAATAAGAACACGAGGAGCGTAAATATAACAAAATACATTTAATATGCATGCTTGAGTAGTGTCTGTTTGAATGTATGTAATTGGTATGTAATCTAAATAAGAATTTTGCGTAAAACGATTTCGTTCCATCCCCATTTATGGTTTTCCCTTATTTCACGTTAGGATTAAGGAATCGGATATATGATTATCTAGATTAGAAATTGAGGAACAAGATCAATTCATTATTTCTGTAGACATTAAAACATACAGCTTTGGTTAGGAACTTCACCGAATATTCAAGTAGCAATCCAAAAAAACACAACTAAACATAAATGATAAATACCAAACAAAATAATTAATGACTATGACTGATTTTATACACGAATTGAAAAAAAAAAACAAGATTTACACAACAAATTATACACATATACATACATATATATATATATATGAATATTTATATTTATAATGTTGCTACTATTATATAAAAACGAGACAAGTTGAAGTTGAAGCCCCGGATAAAGTCCTGGACCTCTCCATCTGTAATACATTTTACACGTTAGGCTACTTCTGCTAATATCTAATATATCTACGAGTATATATGAATATATATATTTATGTGTGTGTTTAAACAAAAAGACAAAAGAAAAAAAAAACAACATAAAAATTAGTAGTGAACTCAACAGTTTTTTAACACTCAAAAACAACAAAATCTTAGACTGCTTCGAAAACGTAAACGTGAAACTTAAAAAATGAAAATATAAAAACTTTTGTGAAATAAAATGAATATGAGACTCGTTTAGGGAATTTTTCTGAAAAGATTTTCCGTTTCCGCTTTTATCTCTGCACTTGTTTAAACTGAGAAATTAAAACTAACTAACTGATTTAGGCTGAACAACTGATTTTTCACTCTTTAATTAACTAAAATGATATAAAATTAAAAACGCAAGAAGAAAAGAGAAGATGACAAGAATATAATGAATATTTTCGCTAACATTTCTAGGTGCAAAATATAATATTTATATACATCCGTAAATTAATCTATAATTAAAGTGCGTATACAAACTATAAGGCATAATAATTAAATGTTTGTTGTTAGCTGCTTATTCTTCCTATTGAAGATTACCTAAAATAAATAAAAAAATAAAACAACAAAAAAATACATACACAATTCATATCCCGAGCATTTTGTAATTTTTGAAGCAAAGCAACATATTAAAAAAAAATACTAAAAATACAGCAAAAGCACTTAAAAAAGAAACGAAAACAGAAAATTGTATTTAAGTCAAGCATTTTAAGAAAGAAAGTTAATCTAACTTTAATGAGAACCAAATGGGCAATGTATAATGCAATAACTAAATAAGAAGTTTATAAAATGATGACCTATTTTTAAAGACTTTTAAATTTATTCACCTTTTTATTCACCTGTTCTTTTGGCCTAGAAAAATTACTCTACAACTCAATATTTTTTCAATTACTTATAATCATTTCCCATTTGTAAATTCCCCTCGTTTTAATTTGTTTAATTTTATTTTTATCTCTTACAGTATTGCACAAATTACACAGCAGCAGCATCAATGACAACAAGAGCTACTTGGCAGACAGAATACAGCAACATTTCATTTGAACGAGAGATTGAAACAATACAAATATTATTATTAATTAATTAATAACAAAACATTCCCCATTTAATTGTGTTAATTGTGTTGAATTTGTTGTTGGAGAAAAATAAGTGGTAATTAATTAAGGATCGTATGCCATGCCATGCCATTCATTTCCTTGTATGGATATGAAAATGGAACATAAGTTTACGTTACGCAATTATTTTAAATCAATTTTGGGACTCAAAAAATTATATAAATACGAATATATTTGCAATTAGTGTAAATGAGTCTCTACGGTCGAACCGCACATAAAACAAACACAATATATAAACAAAGAAGAACGAAAAGAATGTTGCAAATCATTTGGAAATATGCATAAATGTTAGCTCATCTTAATCATAATCACGCATTCGCATCTAGACTTTAGATATTTATAAAGCTATATAGTGCAACTAAGCCGAATCATGGAATCATCATCTAGTCATCATGCATACATATATGTATTTTTATAATAATTAATATTAAACGAAAACGAAAACAAATATGAACTAAACCGAAAAAGAACACCAATCTAATGTTAAATGTCGTTATAATTAAGTTTTCTTTATATACACATATATATATTTATGTTTTAGCTAACGATTTATATATTTTTCCGTCAATGGATTGATTTTAAAGTCTCCCGCAGTTTGAATTTAAAACTAAATAATAAAAAAAAACACAAATGTATACAGGGTTCTGCTTAAATGACTTTCATATTGTCATATGAAAGGGTACGTTTAATATCTGCTAAAATATTATGTTTTATCTATTATGGTTAATTGTTTACACCATGCCATACGTTCTCGGTTACAACTCGTATATTTCGCTCAAATTTTGTTTTACAGTTAAGAAGTACTTACAAGAAAACGAAAAATGTTAAAGCAACGGATGGTAGGAGGGAAAATGTGGAAAATATGGACTGACAAGCAAATCATGTATATCATTGAGGGTTGGCATTTTTAGTCTTTACATAAGTATATAAAAATAAATACAAATACAAATAATACATGTAGTCTTTGTCAGGCATTCTCAGCTGTTTCGAAACGGGGAAATTGTTAACTTTTTTGTGTTGAAATGAAAAAATGAGAAGAAGAAAAAACGTAAGAAATAAAATAACATATATACACGCCCACCAAATGCATACTATATGCTATATACTGTTTCTAATATGCATACAAAGATTTAACCACAACACACATACTTGTACTGATACTGAACAATTAAAGCATTTGGTTAAAGTTCGTAACTGACTCAACTTACTGCCAGGATAGCTCAGCTCAGCTCCTCCTCAGACACCCTGCATAATACTCACTCAGTCAGTCAGTCAATCACTCATTCAGTCAGTCATTCACGCAATCAACCAAACCAATCCTACCCAGGAATCAAGCACAATTAAATGTAATACAACTGGAAAAGCATTTATAACTTGAATATATTTTCTATTTTCAATTCAAAGCCAAGCAAACGGTGTTTTTTGTTTTTTTGGTCAAGAAGAACAAATAATGAAAACTCAAATTAAAATATAAACTTAATCGTAACTAAATCGAATACGATGTAATTGAATGTGAACGTTATTAACTCATTAACTATTATTATAATCTAAGATTCCAACTGTATGCGCATTTTATACATATATAAAAAAGTAAGGCAAACCAGATATAAAAACAAAAAAAAAACTCATTAATGTAATGTGTAAGGGAAAACAAAAAAATAACTTACATTAAATTATATATAAATATTTTATACATGTGGAAAAACTTAACAAAAAAAAAAATGCATGATAATTCGTTATAAAGCTGCAATTTGATCGAGTGACGAACACTATATGAATTTCTACTCAATAACTCCATTGCAAAAGTCAACAACATCGGCGTGAATTTGAGTATTTAACAACAAATGAAAGTCTTTTTAATGCTTAGGGGCCACAATTTTCGAAGTAATTAAAAAAATGAAAAAAAAAACAACATGAAATTATTATATTAATATACGGTATTAATTAACATTTAAAAAATGTTGTGTAACATTATTAATAAACCAAACAACCAAGAACAACCAGCAACAACAACAATTGTATTGTAAGAATTTCTATTTCCATTAAACCACAATAAAATTATTTTGTTTTTAAATAAACCAATTGACTTTCATTTAATTTATAGTTTCATAATTACTTAATAAATACCCTAAAAATGCAATATTTAACAAGGAGAATATTACACTGGAATACATATAAGGTGAGTAAAAGATAAAACTAAATTATATTTCCGTAAAGTCTAGTCATCTAAGATATTTCCCTCGAGATGCCAGTTGTTTAAGTACCATCGAACGATTACCTTGATTTTCAAAAACCGGCAGTTTAAAGAGGAATGTATATCAAAATTAAAAGATATATCTACAAAAATACTGCAACATTTGATATATAGAAAAAAAGCATTTAACAATAAAATACTGATATAATTAAAAAATAACAGAATAAATGAAATAATATGAAGAGCATAACGTTAAAATAAAGATTTATATGTCGACAATTGAATCAAATACCGATACAATATATATATATTTAGCTATCCCTCATTTAAAGATAAACTAGAAATTTCCTTGTTTAATTGTATTTATTTATTAACTCTAAGCTTAGCCTATTCTGTAGATTTTGGTAGTTTTTTCGTCCTGCAAAAGAAATAGGAAATTAGAACATGGATTCACTATTATGAAGACTATGATACTCACATCACACGTAGCTCTTCCAGAGTGGGAACACTCAAGCGTGATGGGAAGTGACCAGCCGCATTTTCCTGCTGCATTTCCAGAGGATGCTTTTTCACCTTGTGGGATCGACAGTTGGCATTACAGGCGAAGGACTTTCCACAATAGTTGCACACATACGGCCGTAGGCCCGTGTGGCTGAGCAAGTGTGTCTTTAGGGTCTTGGAGCGCTTGAATAGTGCTCCGCAGACATCGCACTTCAGTCGGCGCTCTTCGCTGTGTACCACCTTATGCATATTCCAGGTGCGTCGCGTCTGTAGCTTCTTGCCGCAGATGTTGCATACGAAGCTCGGCTCCGCGTGAATCTGGTTGTGGGCCTTCAGTCGAGCTAGGTTCTTAAAGCTGGCCTTGCAGGTGGTACACTCGAATGGCCGATTGTCCGTGTGCACCAACTTGTGCTCATTTAGAGCCGTGATCGTCTTAAGCTGCTTGCCGCAACTGTCGCAAATAAAGGGCTTTATATTGTTGTGCATACCCTCCTTGTGCATCTTCAGGGCTGTGGCGGAGGAGAGGGTCTTGTTGCACAGGTCACAGGTGGTGGTGGCGGTTGTTGTCCTGTCCGCTTTTGCCCGCCGCTCAATTTTGCGGCACTCGCCTTCCCTGTGCTTCTCATACGAGGCACGATTCTTGTAGACTTTGCCGCATCTCTCGCAAATCATGCAGCTGCGTTTGCCGCTTTCATCAGCGGTTAATTCGCCGTCGGCCGTTCGTGGTTTGGCCAAAGTGACGAGACTAGAGATTTCATTGGTTGTGATTGGCAGGAATTCGAGATCAGCTGTCATTAGTTCCGGCTTGATATCCACTTCCTCCTCCTCGCTGGAACCCGAATAGGTGGAGGTGATGTACATTCGAGATTCGTCGTGTTGCGGTACCTCAACCAGCATATCATCCATTCCCAACTGATTTGTATGGCTGCTGTGCATATTGTTCTCCAGCAAAATGGGATCTATATCAATAAATTCCTGCTTCCTGCGGACATCGCTTTCCAAGATGCCTTTGCTGTAAGTCCGCTGTGAGGAGTCCGCATCTCTTATCATTATGAGTTCTTCTCCAGTTCCTCCTTGTGGAGAGATTCTTCCTGCAATCCTAGCCTTCGTTTCCCAAACTCTGGAAGCTCCTCCATATCCGAACCCGCCATGGGCTTAATAATGTGCGTCCAGTCATCCTCGCCAAGTCCGTACTGGTGTCGTAGAGCTGCCACATCCAGACGCTTGTCCGGCTCCCTTTCCGTGCGTCGCAGCACCTCGAAGATAGCCTGCACCTTGGTTACATGCTCCGCAAAATCGATAAGTTCGCTTATCAGAGTGTAGCATTCCGTGCACAGCACACTGCTCAGCTCATCCTCTGTTCGCATCTGAGATAGACAGGGGAGTTGCGTCATATTCAGCATCTTCTCAAGCCAGAACTACTACTTACGTGCACCTCGAAGTACTTGCGGATGGCCATTACCAGGACGTTGTCCCAGGTTCCCGTCTCGTCGCTCATTTGAACCTTGACGTTCCTCCTGGCATCGTCCTTAGCGCACAGTCGGCACCAGCTTAGCCAGTGGCTGTCCTCCGCCATCTTGCAGTCCAATGCAGACGGTTTTTAGTTTCCTTATCGCATCGCCCAGGAATTGTTTACTTTTTATTTCAAGAGATTAGCGTCTGGCTTGCGTTTGTTGTTGCTCAAAAATACTCGATTACAGGGGACTATCGATATTCGATTGTTATTGAATAGTATTTTTTGGTTAACAAACTACCACGCAATGCATTTAGTATATTCCGTTAATTTTAAAGCGCCTAATGAAAGACTAAGAACCTTTGTGCTGCTTTGCTTTTAATTTATTATGTTACATTATTTTTTTGTTCATCGAAAGCCTTCAGCACCGAGGACCGCAACAGCATGATCCACTGGTGCGACAACACGGCACGGATGCAGTTCCTGTCCAGCAGTTGAAGCAGAAGTTGGTGCATTGGATGCAAGCGGGCATGTTGCAACAGCCTCCTGGATTGCAGCACATCTTGGAGTTGGTTGAATGTTGTGTCCGACAAGGAGCTCTCGTATGCCCTACAGAAGAAATATTTAAGTGTAAAATTAAACGAAATAGAATTCTCACTTACCACAACTTTAGTATTTCCAAAAGGTTTTTATTATTGAAATTTTCTAGTGAATTTCTTTGTTGTGTTCACGACAAGGCTCGGAGTCAGACTGATGATTTCTCCCACTAGCATCAGGCAGCTTGAAATATTTTGACAGGCATAGATCCAGGGATTACTAGATGGAATGAAATTTGGATTTTGTTCCAGTAAGGTGCTTTGTCGTCCACATAAGACCCTTTTAATCCACAAAGATGACTCGATGTTGCCTAACAAGGGCCACAGGGACCGCCACAGCCATTGGTAGGAGGATAGGTGGTAACACACCAAGGACCTCCGCACTGCGAGACAGGACAGCAGTAGCTGCAGTCAATAAGACAGCACTGGACGCAGGGCGAGGTGCGATAATAGCGGCTGGGGCAACACATGGTGGCTGGAAAGACTAAAGGATCATAATTTCAAAAATAAGAGAATCTTCTGATGGTTTTAGCAAATGGAACAGTGTAAAAAGTCTCTTTCCAAGATTATATTTCTATTAAATATAATTTTTTACTCACCAAAAAAATATTTTTTAAAGGGAATAAGGCAACAAACACACCTTACTGGACTAGGCTTAGAAACGAACTGATTATAAAATAGTACGAGTATAACTACATCCTTGAAATTGAAAGCAAAGCCAGCTAAGATAAGAAAATATTGTAAATTATCAGTAAAAATATTTAAATAATCTTTTTCTGTGATATGTGGGAACAGCTTCATTCATAATAAGTTATTAAAACGTTAAATACTTACAAATTGGTAGAACCTTGTGGTATGCTAATACGACCTCAGATTTCCCCTTAAACACGCATTCAAATGCTTACGAAACCGCATTTATTCAGTATTTTTTTCTCAAGGATTACATTACTTTTTTGTTGTACGTTGTGGCTAAATCCATCTTAAAATCGTTAGATGGACCTTTGATCTTATTCTTTCCCATTTGGCAGCTCCATGTCCATGTCCATGTCTTAACAGCAACCACTGGGACCGCAGGGCATGATAGTAGACTGAATATAGGCCGGAGTGCAGGGCACGCAGCACAATTCAACGCAACAGCTGTAACAGCCGCCGCAGGGATTGTTGCAACGTGGTCCACAAGGTCCGCAGGGTCCGCAAGGTCCGCAACACATGGTCTGGAGAAAGTTCAGCTTAAGATATTTGTTTTATAACTAGTACAGGATTTTGCTTACCGTTATTGGATATAAGTTTTAGGTTTGCCTTAGGGGCTATTATTATTTATCCTCTTTCGTTTAAGAAAAAATCCAAGAGCTGTAAAAAGGTATTATTAATAAAACAGCTTCTTCAATTTAAGCTAGCTAAACTCACATTGATCTAGTTAAAGAATTTGGATCTTACAACAAACAAATTAGTTCCGAGAATTTTTAGACAGAGGTGTTAACACAACGAATTTCGTAAAACAAGTGAAAACATAAAGCAGATAACGAGGATAGGTAAGCAAATAAAAATCTTGGCCTACTTGAATTAAGTTTAAAATCATTGTATAATAAACAAGGAAGGTGAAGACGTGTGCTTGACGTAAACACTCAACCTGATTGATTCGATGATATTTAAAGCTTTGGGCTTAACTTAAAAGACTGCAACAATTACTTAAATTGATTTAAAAATAAAGGATCCATAAATGAAGTAAACAAAAATTAAAATATTTTGATATGGATCTCCCAGTCTGCAGCTAAAATCGTTAAAGTTACATTGTATGCTTCATGTTAAGAAAGGTTAATAATTAATTAAATATTTATTTCGTATGCCTTATTAAACCATTTATTTTAAACTTTTAATACAGTTTCAGATAATTCTCGGCAATAAAGGTATTTCCAAATTGATCTGTAATATCAGGAATTTAATCTGCAGTCTGGATCGAAGCCTTAGTTTCGCTGTACGACTGATATGCCGCCAAAAAGGGCAAAGATCTTCGCAGTGCCACGTATTCCTGCGCCAAAGAAATGGCCCAGAACGGCAGAGATGTACTTCAGCGACATAGCGATGAATAAAGACTATGGGAGATATTAATAAATAAATATTTTAAGTCAACCTGAACAATAATTAGTACCTAAGTCACAGACAATTTAATGGATTAGCCGCATCCACGAATTATTGAACATAATATATTTTGACAGATGCCAAAAGACCTGCTATATACTATATAAAATAAATTGAATCACTAATTTAACCTGCAAGATTAGTTTACAAAAAGTACGTTGATTTTTGAATTGAATTATTTTGAAACTGAATAGATTTATCGATTTCTCTTAATCGAAATCCTCTATTCGGTATTTTTTAGAATCATGCGGTAATTTCTTATTATAGTGCTACGTTCACACTGGCAGCGAATATTCCAATTGGAAGATTGAAAAATTATAATAGTAAATGTTATTTTACAAATTATAAATAAAACCCAAAATGCTGCGCCAGGAGAACTTGGCGCAACTTCTGCGGTCTGCTGGCCACACAAGGATACAAGGGTGAGTGAAGTTTTCTCAAAGGTACGGCTGTGGAATCCAATAATGAAAAAAGTTCTTCCATTTAACAGAGAAGGCAAACGAGTGGCGCATTTTGGGTCAGGAGCAGGATGGCTCTATGCTCACATCCTGGATATTTGAGTATCCGGAGGACGAGGAGAAGGTGCGCAAGGAGACCTGCATTGGTCACTTCCATGCCACCAAGAAGCAACTACGCTTGCTTTGGACTCTGCCCAAGTGCTGTGAAATCATCCAGGCGAGTGTCAACAGCAGCGTCACTCTGCTCTCCTTTGTGGAGAAGACCGAGGGTAATCTCTACCAGGCCTTCGTTGTGGAGGTCGCAGCTCGGAGGGAGGCACTGTGACGCCCATTAATGCAGAGCCCACGCCGCGTCAAATCATGACGCAGTTTCTATGGCGAGTGGAGAGTGCCACGCGCACCTGCTGGCAGGACAAGCTTCTGGTGCTTACCCACGAAGAGTGTACGTATTTAGCAGTTTTCTGAACTAATCTTTTAGGGATATACTGGAGCTTATTTCCTTTACAGCCATTAGGCAGTACAGCTGTGTGGTGAAGCAGAGCTCAACCACATCCTCGACTGGTGCCGGTGAGGGCAGTGCCTGGCGCTTGGACACCAGCATCCTGACTTTTGAAACTTTGGCGAGAAACTTCAGCTGGGCTCAGTGGGATCCCGAGTGTCAGGCTCTTTATTACATACATCTAAAGCCAAAGCCAAGAGCCTGAGTCTGCTGGACGAGCGGGAGGAGGCGGGTGGCGAGCAGGCAGCACCGATTCTTAGTCCCACACTGTCGGCTTTCCAGTTCAACGAGAAGCAGCCCACGGAGACGGTGGTAGGTGCACGAGACTTGTATTTGAGCCCTAAGGTAATCCCTTTCATTCTTTCCAGCTAAATATACCTCTCAACCTGCCCAAGTTGCCCACTGGTAGCTCTAGGGAAGATGAAACCCCTAGCTACGACGATGATGCAGTACCATTGCGCGTGCACGACAGCTCTCTTAATCTCATCATTCTGGCGGATAGCTCTTCGGGCATGTTCTTCGTCTGTCACTACTACCTTTACCAGCCGATGCAATCGGAGCAGAAGGACGTACACTTTGCCTACTCGGTGACTCTGCTGCATCATGGCTGCGTGGTGCACTGCGTCATGCCCGGGGTGCCGTGGCAAAAGGCTAGGCTTTTAAGCCCACTTTTGCTCTCCATGGGCAACATCACTTGCTGGTGTCTCGGCCTTTTTTGTCCATCTACTGGACGTGGGTCTGCAGCATGAACCCAACTGTCACATCGTGTGTGCTGCCCACAGCAACCGGAGTCCTGATATTACCCAGCTGGTTCCCCTGCGGAAGTGGGGAGCTCTGGCCTACGATGTGGCCACCTTGGATTTGGTCTCTCTAACCGTACCCAAGTCGCATCTGATTGAAGCCTTCCGAAACGACAGCTCGCTGGACAACCGAATCAGCATTATCCATTACTTCCTGCTGCACTCAAACGATATGGACGTTCTGGCCGAGCTGCTGAATAGTATCCTGGAACGTCCGCTTTCCCTGGACACGGTGGCCCTGCTGAAGGAGGCCCTTGTAGCTGGCAGTACGCTGCTGCAGTTCGCGGTTTGCCGGACGAGGCCAAGCCACTGATGAGGCTATTGCCGTTGACCACAGCTATTGCCTCGCGACCCATTCAAGCCCGGGTAGCGGATATAAACGTGGGCCTCTCGCACGAAACCTGCATAATACCAGCATGATGCTCCTGTCGCCGCAGCAGCGTCTCTCACCCTACCGAACGATATCTGGACAAGGCTGTGGGATTTGCTCAACGAGTCAGCGAAGCAGGAACAGCCGCGCTTCAGTGGAGAACAGGTGACGGAGAAGCTCATCTTTAGCCTGGCCTGCTACCAGCCAGAGGCCCTGTCCAGGTGCACTACGCCCCTATCACCGGACGCTGGCTCGGGCGGTGGGTTTGGAGACTACAGCAGCGGCAGTGCGTTTCCCTTTAGCAAAGAGGTTCTGCCTTTCATTGAGCTGGAAGGCTGCACGGCCAGTAAGCAGGAGCACGTCATCTCAGTGGTAAATTAATTAACATATTTACTTTATATTACTTTCTAATTTCATAAAATATTAATAGTACTTGCGCGAGCTTAGCGTTCATTTGGTGAAGCATTCTCCAAGCCGCACACTGGCTTCCGATGGCTGAAGGAGACCTTCTTTGAGCGCTCCCAGGCTCCGGCTCATGTGCATGCGGTGGCCTCTCAGTTTGTTTCCTCGCAGTTGGAGCTGTCCCGTGCGCTCTGCTCCCTTGTGTGCCGTGCGGCGGGCTTGGATGCTCGCATGGAAACGTTACGTGGTTTCAGTTGATGTGAGTTTCACTCGATTCTAGGTTTAACTTATTTTAGTTCTGGGAATATTTGCAGAGATAAAATGCCAGCTAGCCAACAGCACTCGCTGTTCCTTATACTGGAGAGATACTGTCTGGCGGTGGAATCGATTGCCTTTCCCCTGCCCGAGGGTTTCTCCTCGTTTTCACTTACCTGGGCTATCGGGCTTGGGATACAACATGTTCCTGCAGTATGTGGAGAATCATGTGTTCGAGCTGCAGGTGGACGTTATGAAAGCAATTGTTTTTGGTGGGTTTCTATTGATTTTTCAAGTTGATGCCCTCATTTCATCGTATATATTGAACAGATATCGAGGATTCCCCCCTGGGCATCGAGCGTAAGCTGTCGCTGCTGTCAGCTCTGCCCAAGCAACGGGCCCAGCGGCTTTTAAAATGCTGGCAGCATCCGGACAGCCTCATGATCCGTGGCAGGGAGCATGCAGCAAACATTTTGTCCGGTCAGCAGCTCCTGGAAGCCAATCAGCAGCAGGGCCATCAGTTGCGCAAACCAGTCCCGAAACAATACCAGGAGCGGTGAGATTTCCACCTTAATTACTTTCATTCATTTGCATTTGCACATATGTATTTTTCACCCACATCCATCATCCCGTTCAGCTTTGGGCAAACCCAACACTGTGGTCTGCCACTCGCTGCTTTTGGTTTTTCTGTTTATAATTTTAACCACGGCCTTCCTGAGCATGGCGAGCTATGTGTTACTTGGTAGATCGAATCATCGCCGACTGGTAAGCAACGCTAATCAGTGTTTGCCAGTGTTCTTGTCCCATTCGCACGAGTTATTATCCTGTTTTTGGAATCAATTTTTATAGCAAACGCATTTCTCTTTGACAGACTTAACTGCCGAAGCCCTAACGCCATTGGACTCCTTTCTGGACCTACTGACGGCCAAGGCTAGTCTAAACGAATTGGATTACAATTTGCTTATCGAGACCACTTTGAGCTCCATTGATCTGCTCAAGGTGGAGGGCTAATGTGCTTACTACTTACTATCTATTTGGTAGCAGTCATGACAGTAATTAAAAGGGTATTAATTAAAGGCCAAAGTATAGTGTCAAAATATCAAGTATTGGACCCCACATGCAGTACCCCTTAGGGGTAAAACAGCTTTATGTTTGTTAGACTTAGACTAAGATTTGTTTTTGTGCAGCTTACATAGAATTCAATGTACAATTTTTTTTATGTTTAATGTTCCTATTATTTTCTATATGTGTCAATGAATTTATGCATTCCATGTCTTATATTCCATATAGCGAATTTATGTATCTATGTACGTACATATATATTTATTATTTATTTATTTATTTGCCACAAAACAGTAAAAGCTTGTGACTATCGTAAATGAGTTATTATTATAGAATAAACTGAACTTGAAAGATTCTTTACTTAAAATACAAACCATATTTTGGTTTCTAGTTAACTTTCAAGTATTTTAAAGAATCAAATCGTTGATTAAATCACTTCAGATAAATTTTGATTTCTTCTGTTTGTAAAACTAAATATTTCACCAATGTCAACGGTGCGTATGATCGATAATATTGTTAAAACCATTCCGCTTCTTAAATAATCAAATGTAAATATGCAAAAAGACCTTCCTCATCATCAAAGAGCCTTAGCTCGACAACTCACTTCAACGAAACTAACCCGTGTCGCATTCCGTAAACAGAGCTCCTTGAGCAAACAGATACAAATTTAAATTTTGTAAGTAAACTACAAAATCAGAGTAGATAATCACACATGAGTTCGAGCAAGAGATTGGTGAAAAACGCAGCTGTGCAGACCTGGAAGACGATGGCCGCAAGATTCCCAGCCGGACGAAACTATTTTCACGCCCAGGGAGGCGATGAGGAAGGCGAACTGCCAGGACTATCGCTTCCATCTGACGGAGACGTACCCCTCGATCCGTACACAAGTGTCACTCTGCAATCCCAGCAAGAACTTCTCCTGGTTGGCCGACTCCTCGAGGCGGACGGCTGTGGGCGACCCTTCGACGTGGATAAGGAAGACGTGCTGTTCCTGTGGCAACAAAGTCCTTGCAAGGACACGTTGGGTTACTATGGCGTCGGCACGCGCAGTGATCAGCCGGAGACGGTAAGGTTCAACAAGACGCTAATGGCCAGCCTGAAAAAGGCCAACGTAAAGAACAGGAAGCAACGTTCTGCCAGGTCGGCAACGTCTCCGCCGTCATCCTCGAAGAAGAAGAATACCCTTCCAAAGAACTACGTTCCGGTCAGACGTGTCAGCCCTTCATCCTCAACCGTGGGATTTTGCAAACGGAGCTCCAGCAGATGCCTATCGTTCAGCAAAGGCTGAATCCTCGTGCCGCCTTGGAGTCGATCTTCTGCGATGACCCAGTTGATCCCTACGATCCCTTAGGTGTAGGCCAGCAGGAAAAGATGATGTCTCCCGAGACAAAGCCCTTGACATGGAACGACCTCCCAAAAAGAAACCTCATGGACTGCGTCGTCGTCACTGGTACTGCCCCCCGGTGAAGAGAAGCGGCGCTGGAGAGCAGAATGCATGCGCACAGTACGAGTGTGCGGAGTTCAAGCTCAATCCGAGAAACAAAGAGTTTCAGCAATGGCTCAGCGCGCAGAAGGAGGAAAAGAGTCCAGAGCCCAAGGACTACGATCAACTGTACGAGAGGTTCCTCAAGTGCTTCGAGCAGGAACCCACGCCGGATCCGCTCTGCAAGATGTACAAGATCTGCTGCGGGACAAAGTCAGGTGGCGACGATGGTCAGGAAGGTGGCGATACGCAGGGCGGTGGTGGCCATGGTGGCCGTGGTGGCCGTGGAGGTGGACCCGGTGGCAAAGTGTGTAAAAAAGGGGATGAATCGGCTCTGACGGGGAACCAGATGAAACGGGAATGAAAGACAATGGCAGAGATTGGAACAAGGACAAACACAAGGGCAAAGATTGGGATCCAGGCAACGACACGGGCAAGGACAAAGATAGGGATACGGCCAAGGACTCGGGCAAGGACACCGGGAAGAACACGGGTCAGGACACGGGCAAGGACACGGGCAAAGGCACAGGCAAAGACACGGGAAAGGATACTGGAAAGATTCGGGAAAGGATACGGAAAGATGCAGGAAAGGATACGGGAAAGAATACGGAAAAGGACATGGGAAGGATACAGGCAAGAACACAGGCAAGGATACGGCCAAAACAACAGGCAAGGATACGGACAAACCACGGGAAAGGACACGGAAATGGATACGGGAAAGAACACAGGCAAGAATGCAGGCAAGGACCCGGATGCGGACATAGGCAAAGACAAGAACAAGGACCAGAACAAAAGCAAGGACAAGGGCAAGAACAAGGCAATGACCAAATGGATGCGGACACGGGCAAGGGGACTAAAATCAATGTTGATAAATATGCAGATGAAGAAGAAGGTGATGGAAAACCAAAGGGCAAGAAGGGTAAAAACAAAGATCTGGACAGTGAAAAAGAAAAACCTAGCAAGCCACCTAAGCGGGTTAGTGATCTTCCTGGATCGGGCGGACGTCCTTCAGGATCAGCGATGAATGAACCGGCGAAGGGAACGACCAATGCTCCACTGTTACCAGTCGACGAATTAGAAGCCCTTAAGGATGATCTGAAGGATATAATTGATACTTTCCAAGCTCCCGATCCCCCTGAGCCCAGCCCACCGAGAAACCAAGGTTGAGGAACAAATAAAAAAGAAGCGGAGAAGGACAAGACTAAGAAGCCGGACAAGGAGAAGAAGGTCAAGGAAAAGATGAAGGAAAAGGCCAGAGTCAGTGGTGAAGATAAAACGTGCAAGCGTTGTCCGCCCCCAGGATGCCCCTGCGAGATCTGTGAATTCATGTTTCGTTGTCACGGAAAGCCGGATGCCCCCTTCATCCGGGATATGATGCGGGCGGATAAGAATCGCCAGCTCCGGGCCTATTATCGTCAGATGTGCCACCGGGAGTACATCCGTAATTGTTGCCGGGAGGATCTTCGTGCTCCGTTCCATAAATGCGACCCCATCACCTGCGACAATATCTTCTGCAAAAACCCACATCTCGCCCAGCACTGCGAGTGCCTGGAGGCGGTTCAGGATCTGCAAAAGCTTCTCAAGGCGCGCGGTGACCAACAACTGCTCCATCGCGTTGAAAACTTGCGCCAGCGCATTACACAGCGCATGTGCGACTGCTTCCTAACTTAAATCGGTAGGGAGCTCATATGTGTCTCTTAGAAATCGTCTTTGGTTTAATCAAAGAATATCTATGTGTAAAACTAAAAAATATGGTTGTATTGATTATTTTTAACAGAAAATGGAATAACTTTGCTGACAAATGGAAATTTCTGATTGGCTTTCTCCTGCGAACTGTTGAGGTTGCATCGAAGGGAAGGAGTCGACTTGGAACTACAGCAGTGTTTGATGCTTGTCTAAGAAGAATTAACATTACCCCCCAAAACCAAATACACTGTTATACGCGTCGACATGGTTTGATGCTCGTCCAAGTAGAATTAACATTACCCCTCCGAGACTAAACTGTTATACGCTCTGCAATCCAACATCAGCTGCTGGTTGGACACCATCCACTGGGTTGTGCTGCCTGCGGAACATGTGTGCGTCCAATTGGTTGTTTATACCGTTGACAATCGTTGGGACAGCCCACCGAACATGTTCGACGTTGCAATGGACACGAAATTATCGATGTCGGAAAAGCTATCGCATTTCGTTTTAAATAGTGACATCGATGTTTTTGCCGCGCTCAGTCAAATTTGAACAGTCGTTGGAAAATCGTCACGGTGTGCGCATCAACGTGAATTCGCAGCGGAAAAGTGCGAGGAAAGCGAGGAAAACGGGAGAGACTTTGATTCGGTTCGACTCGTATTGGGGAAACTCTGTGCGCCCGAGTTACCCAGAACGGCCAGAATAAGGCAAAGTGCCAAATGCTCTGACAAATAATTGCAGTAATCTGCGGGATTTAGAAATGCGAGCCGCATAAAATTCAAATTCAATCGCAAAAAGTGAACAGCGAAAAGTGCAGCGGAAATTAAGTTTTTGCCAGTGCCAAGGAGAAACTCTAAAAAACGCTGAAAAAAAATAATTCAATAAAATAAACACTAAGATCCTAGAGCTACCTAAAAAGACATACCGATCTGAAGATGGGCCTTAACTGCCTGACAATTGGATTACTTTTGGCCCTGTGTGTCGCCAGTGGCCAGGCCCACCTGAACATCTTCCTCAATTTGCACGAGGTGTTGCGTTTAATCGGTGAGTTTTTCACGCAATTATTTTAGTTTTATTTTTGGGGAAAATCCTTTGTCAGATTATTTGTCAATTAACTGACCAATTTTGGCATCTTGTGTTTGTGGGCAGAGCTTAAACCAAATTTGATTTACAGAAAGCCAAGCTTGTGAAATTGCAAAAATATACATACATCTTTTGTATGTGTTTTCTTTTTGATTTTGGCAATGTGGCTTTGGGGCGAACGAAGACAGATTTTCCTGATTTATTTACTCCTTTGTAAATAATACATGCTGCTAATTGCTTTCTGGCCCAACAAACAACAAGGTTCAACTTGAGAAGTCGATTCGGCCTTCTGACACAAGCAGGTCACAGATTATATTGCTATTTTTATTTGCTCACACAATATTGGTTTTATTTAAATTTTCTCCTCAAGTCATGTGCCAGGATTACTCAAAATAATCCTCAAAGATCAATAAGACAAAAATAAAAGCCAAGAGAGCAAAACTAATATCTTATGGAATTTAGTCTCTTGTATCAAAAGAAGTTTGTCTTCATTTATCGGATTCGTGCCTTTATCTTTACACAAAAGCCGAATTTCCACTCAAATAACCATATCAGCTTTATATATACACAAGCTTTTCCAGCATAAATCCAATGAAGATATAATCCCATTTTCACCAATTTATTCCTTAACCCAACAAATCTGTATTGTATCTGACTCAAGTCGAGCTATTTTCGTCCAAAAGAAAAACACCCACAAATCCCGCAGAAAAGATTGTGAGGCTAATAAAAGTGAGGAAAATTGTTTTACAATGTGTCACAGGGCCCGAACAAAGAATTTACAACCCAGTGCATATAAAAAATAAATCAGTAGCCGGAGGGAAAGCCCGGGAATGGGATGAGGCGTCCAACCAAGTGGGGACAAATCCATGTGAAGTCGTAAAACACATGCAAAGTGTTTGTTTGCTCATGGGTTGGGTGAAGGGGTATATTTTATATAGGAGAGATATGGAAAAATTATCAAAAATTATGTTGTTAAATTTACAACACTCTCGTGTGTGTGTGTGAGTGCAAACAGGCCGGTTGATTGATGGGCAAAAGGAGGTAGGTCTGCGCTCTGCAGATTGCATCGCGTCACTTGTGAATAACTGTGTAAATATTTGTGGAGAGCTGCAACTGCAACAGGGGGCTAATCAGGCGCTTATCTGACCGCTTATCATCCGCTTGCCACTCGTCGTAATTCATGTTTGATTTGGCTTCAGGACGCAGAAGCGGTTTCTTGGCACCCGCTTATCAGCCGTCGAGCGCCAGCAGACAATCAATCAAAGGTGAGTGGGAGAGAGCTCTCTGTGGAAGGATGGGCGGCGATGGCCAGTTGAGGCTTTCCACTTGACATGGCTCCGGGAAAATTTATTAGTTGTGGCAGCCGCGTGTCAAACGAAATCAGAATTAAAACCCATTAAGCGGTGCCTGCCCGGCAGCTCCTCCAATTGCGGTTGTATCGGGATTTGGGGTTTCAGGCTTTTGGTATTTGGGGGTGTCGGGTTTTTGGGGTTTCGTATCAGGATTGGGTGGGTTCGCCGACGATACCCTCCTCCAATTATTCAGCGCTGACAGCGGGTTGCATGCCTGACCTACTTTCGGTCCTTCACCATGCAACGTCGGGTAGGTGTCACCTCTTTTTTATATATGGATATATATTTTTTTAGCGGTCGCTTCAAAAGCCTTTGTGTGAGTGCACATCAATTAAATTGTCAACCCAACCCGGGCAGCAATGCGAAGGCGAGAGTCGCCTGAAGAAGAGTTTTATGCACTTGCAGCTGTGTGGCATGGCATTCACTGTTCGTTAGGTTATATCATACCCCCGATCCCCCGATCCCCGGATCCCCCGGATCCCTGCTCCATGTCCGTCCCAAATTGCTGAGCTCTATGTAAACCATGTCAGGTGCGGATCAAGAGGGGGCAGGGGGTCTAGGTTTTGGGTCCTGTGGCCCCAGCTCGTTAGCGAAATGAGCGGATATGTAAAGTCGGTACAGTTGATGGATTTTGCGGTTTGCTGCAATGAGTGACCGAAGGGGTCACTCCACTTGAAAGACAGTTGAAACGTTTTTCAGGTGTGTGTCCGTGAGTGTGTGGAAAATAATTTGGAAGCATCGGTTGGGGTCCCCCATTAGATAATTGGAGGAGTCTAGTTGAACAGAGGAGCAGGAGGATAGTGTTACATGGTAAAAGGTTTAATTGGGAAGAACCTTTTCTGAGGTTCTCTAGAACTTCAATCCCTCCATCCTATCAATATTAACTTGTCTATCTTGAGCCTATACTAACCAATTAAAACCATATTGTAAGTCTCGTGGAAAAGTGTACTCAACACTCTTGCCACCATTTTACAGCTTCCCCCGCAAAAAACTTTCCTTCACACTTTCCCTCAATAATCCTGGCGTAACTTTTGCCAACTTTTGTATCCCTGGCAGCTGTCTGACCTGGATCCAGGATCCCAGGTCCATTTCCACGTATAACCCATCGACATTCGCCAGTCACGTTTCGGGTCTGTCTATCAACACTTGCTAATCTCAACCCCATCTCTCTCTCTAAATGGTTTGACACTTTCAACTGGCGCGGCCAAAAAGATTCATCATTGCAGAACTGAACATGATTTTCCCCACGCACAATGGAAATTGTTGCCAACTCACGTTTGGCTAATAAAAGCATGCGAACATTTGGCCGAAATACAAAACATATTTTCGGCAAGTAATGTGAACTCAATTAGGGGGCCCCAGCATCAGTAGCATCAGCATCACAACGGGGTTTAGAACTTAAGCTAAATCTCTTGTGTGCGTGGCCAAAAATATTTCACCCTCGGCATAATTAATGTTGCAGTTGGAATCGATGCCATTAGATGTGCTCAAGCGTGCGGCATGTGTTGCCAACTTGCCACCGAAAACATAAACAAGGATCTGCTCTCTGTCCCCGGATCTCGGCTCTTGTTCCCTGCCACCTGTCTTTTGAGTACACAGAAAGAAAGTTGGAATATGGTTATATTCAGCTGCAAATTGAAAAAATCATACTAAAATACGAACGACAAATAATGCCGTTCAAGAAATCAAAATCATATTCTTGTTATTTGTTTAATTTCTAAGTTATTCTTTGTTAAAACTGAATGCCAAAAATTGTTTTATATACATAGAGTTAAAGTACTTACACAAATATAATTTTTTTGAGATAATATATATGTTGTTTTTACGTTCAGCAGACTGTCAGTAGTGACAAATTTAATATATTTTATTTAAATTACTTTTGAAGGTACTACATTAATGTAACTCTTTTAACGTGATTAAACCTTTTTCATCCTTTGATTATATCTAAATACAACACTTCTTAGACAATATTTTCAGCACATAAACCTATAAAAATATAATTATAAAGTGAAATATTTTGTTAATATTTTGTAATAATTTATTCTTCATCTTGTATTAATTTCTCAATAATGAAAGCATTAAGGTCACCATATTTTCGTTGTGTGTACAAATTCATTCCGTTGCCAAGTTGTCGCGTCTGGCTACATAATTGGGAAATGAACAGCAGACATAGGAGGCAGCAATGGCTATGTTGTTGCACCAATAATGATGATGATGATGATGATGATGATGTAGCCCCGAAGTGCAAAGACGAGTGTCACATGCAGCGTTTCGCTGGCTGGCCAAATCTCAGTTACCACTCATAATCCAGACCGGGGAATCCCCCCAACTACAGTCCTGCACTTCGATCTCCACCCCCTCCATTTGCAAATGCAAGTCATTGGCCCTTCAGTGGCTTTCACTACCAAACACTAAACCCTCCCTCCCTCTGCGTGTGTTGCGTAAATATTTTTCTGAAACAACAAAACCGAAAAATCGGTTATGGTTAGGTGACCACGCCCCCACGATTGACGCCCTGCACTTGCGCCTAATTAAATAACTAAATGATTTGCGGATACGGATGTTGTTGTTCATGCGTCGCGAGGTGTGACAATAATAACGACGTAAACATAAACAACACAAAGCTTTCACACCTCAAACTGGCACACGCAATCCAAGAAGCTATAGAAGTTCAGTAATTCGAAAGTTGTAATGAGCATTGTAATACAAGAAAATAATGATATATAACACCACTTCCCCCATAAAGTCTCTCTCCTGTTTGTCCATTTGAATACACTCATAAGTTGTGTCGAAAAATAGTTTCAATTTAATCGGATAAAGTGATAATAAAATGAAAAAACACTTTTTCTGGCTGCAATGCCTGCATTTATTGGCAATGCAAACTTCATCGTCACCAGTTCCCAAAAAAAGAAACTATCCTATATTTGATTTATTTCTGCAATTTCTACCACCATGGCAAAAACTTCTATAGTCGGTTATTATTAAAAAAGTTTTTCATAAAGCTTATGTGGAAGTTTGGTTTGGCCAAGACGAGAATCCTGTTTATTAGTATACATTTTTCATATTTATTTTAGTTGTGCATTTCGAGTAGATTTAAATCAATTTGGCAGATGAATGACTTTTTTGTTAGTCTTAAAAAAACACACAACCATAATTTTAAGTTATCCAAGTGACCGGGCAATCTTTGAAATTTATCTCATGATTTATATGATCACAAAAAGGTCAACAAAAAAAGAACAGAAACGGAAGCGATTTAAACTATCTGTAATTGCTTTGGGTCAGCCCATTTGGTTGGCTTTCAATTAAACTAAATTTATTTAAATTAAAATCATATTTCACATTCCAATTTAGCAATGCATATACACTTGGGAGTGGATTCCCTGAAGTGCTCATCATATCAACTCTCGTCGTGTGGAGTTATTTTCACCCCCTTGGAGGAAATCGAGGCCTCGTATCTAAAGTGCTTCAATGCTCGGTCTGTCAGTCAGTCCGGACTTGTTATCAAATTAATTTAATCAGTTTCAATTGTTTATGTTAGGTTTTTTTGGTCTTCTAGGTTGCTTTTTTGGATTTTTGCATGATTGGTGGTGGCCAGACACGAAATGGGAG